AGTCTCCTGCCTCAGCCTCCCAAGTAGCTAGGACCACAGGTGCCCGCCACAACAGCCAGCTATTTTTTGGTTGCAGCCATCATTATTGTTTGGCGGGCCCCAGCTGGATTCAAACCCGCCACCTTAGGTGTATGTGGCTGGCACTTTAGCCACTTGAGCCACAGGCGCCAAGCCACCTTTTTTTTTTGAGACAGTTTCACTTTGTCCTCCTGGGTAGAGTGCTGTGGCAGGGTGTCATAACTCACAGCAACCTCAAACTCTTGGGTTTGATTCTCTTGCTTGAAACTCCCAAAGTAGCTGGGACTACAGGTGCCTGTCACAATACCCAGCTATATTTAGAGACAGGGTCTCACTCTTGCTCAGTTTGGTCTCAAACCTGTGAGCTCAGGCAATCCACCTGCCTTGGCATACCAGAGCGCTAGGATTATAGGCATGAGCCACCATGCCTGCCTGAGACCCCATCTCTTTAAAAAAAAAAAAAAAAAAGGAGAGAGAGAGAGATGGGTCTCTTTATGTTTTCCAGGTGAGCCCACCAGGCTATTTTTTGGTTGCATTTGTCGTTGTCTTAGCTGTCCCGGGCCAGATTCGAACCTGCCAGCCACGGCCATGTGGCCGGCGCTCTACCCACTAAGGAACAGGCGCCACCCAGGATATATACATTTTTTGAGTCCTGTGCTCTATCATGCTGGGCAGCATCCTATTTAACAGAGATCTGTATGTTTCACTTGCCTCCCTCAGCTACCAGAATTAATTTTCTGTAGGTAGGCTAGGATGCCCTATAAGAGTACTGCCACTGGAGCCAGACTGGGTTGAAATCTTGCCTTTGGACACTCCCTAGGTGTCATTGGGCAAGTTATTTAATTAATCCCTCTGTACATCAGTTTATCTCATAGGATTATTTTGAGAATTAAGTATATTAATATATGAAAGCAGCATTTAGAACAGTGCTGACACACAGCCCTATATATACATCAGCTATTTTTAAATTTACTATTGACTTACATTGTCATTTGGATTCTATCCAATCCATTCATCAGTTTACTTACCTGAAGCATTTGGTGAGTGGTCATTTTAGTATAATGTCCTCAAAAAAGTAATTTAAAAAGCCAGGCACAGAGGCTCATGCCTGTAATGCTACCACTCTGGGAGGTGGAAGCAGGTGGCTCACCTGAGCTCAAGAGTTTGAGATTAGACTGAGGAAGAGTAGAGACCCCCGTCTCTAAAAACAGGTTGTTGGCTCGGCACCTGTGGCTGAACTGGCTAAAGCGCCAGCCACATACACCTGAGCTGGTGGGTTTGAATCCAGCCCAGGCCCACCAAACAATGGCAGCTGCAACCAAAAAAAACCAGCCAGGTGTTTTGGCAAGCGCCTGTGGTCCCAGCTACTTGGGAGGCAGAGGCAAGAGAATTGCTTGAACCCACGAGTTGGAGGTTGCTGTGAGCTGTGATGCCATGGCACTCTACCCAGGGCAACAGCTTGAGGCTCTGTCTCAAAAAAACAAAACAAAACAAAACAAGTTGTTGTGGTGGGTGCCTACAGTCCCAGCTACTTGTGAGGCTGAGGCAAGAGGATCACTTGAGCCTATGAATTTGAGGTTGCTATAAGCTATGCCGCCACAGCACTCTACCCAGGACAACAGTTAGACTGTCTCAAAAGGGTGGCGCCTGTGGCTCAAAAGGGTAGGGCGCTAGCCCCATATGCCGGGTTTTTTTTTTATTTTTTTAGATGAGACAGAGTCTCACTTTATCACCCTCAATAGAGTGCCATGGTGTCACACAGCTCACAGGAACCTCCAACTCCTGGGCTTAGGCAATTCTTTTGCCTCAGCCTGCCGAGTAGCTGAGACTACCTAAAAGTGCCTGCCACAACGCCTGCCTTTTTGTTGCAGTTTGGCCAGGGCCAGGTTTGAACCCACCACCCTCGGTATGTGGGACCGGTGCCCTACTCATGGAGCCATAGGCGCTGCCCTTGTTTAGGACGTAACAAAAAATTCTGAATAGAAGCAGTTGCTTTAAAAAGGCGGGGGAGCTTTTTGGCTTTTAGCTTGGAGGCCTAATTTTTCTTCAGTTGTTCTGAATCCAGGTTCACCAACACCAGCCACCTCTACCATGCTGCCTAAGTTCCACTCCAACAAGAAGTATACCTGAGATGCACTGGTGGTGAAGTCAGTGCCCTGTCTGCCCTGACCCACAGGGTCTGTCTACAAAAATGGTTGGTGATGACATCACCAAGGCAACTGGTGACTGAAAGGGTCTGAGTATTACAGTGAAAACTATCCAAAACAGACAGGCCCAGATTGAAGTGGTACCTTCTGCCTCTCACCTCATCATCAAAGCCCTCAAGGAACCGAGACAGAAACAAAAAAATATTAAACACGATGGAAATGTCACTTTTGATTCGACTGTCAACATTGCCAGACAGGTGGCACGGATCCTTAGCCAGAAAACTCTCTAAAACCATTAAAAAAGTCCCGGGAATGACCCAGTTGGTGGGAGCCTACAGCTCAGCAGCTAGGGTGCCAGGTACACACATGGGAGCTAGCTGGTTCAAACCCAGCCCAGGCCTGCCAAATGATGACAACTACAACCAAAAAAAAAAAAAAAAACCAGAATAGGCTTAGTGCCTGTAGCTTAAGCAGCTAAGGCAATAGCCACATATTGTGTTGGAATCATCCTAAAACCATACCTCTACCCCCCAGTCTGTGGAGAAATTGTCTTTCAAGAAATCAGTCCTGGCTCGGCGCCTGTGGCTCAAGTGGCTAAGGTGCCAGCTACATACACCTAAGGTGGCGGGTTCAAATCCAGCCCAGGCCCGCCAAACAATGACCGCTGCAACCAAAAAACAGCCAGTTGTTGTGGCAGGCACCTGCGATCCCAGCTACTTGGGAGGCTGAGGCAGGAGACTCGCTTGAGCCCAGGAGTCAGAGGTTGCTGTGAGCTGTGATGTCACAGCACTCTACCCAAGGGGACAGCTTGAGGCTCTGTCTCCAAAAAAAAAAAAAAAATCAGTCCTGATTGATGCCAAACGGTAGAGACCCCTGTCCTATAACTTACCACTGAAAACCTTGCAATTTTATCTTAAAGTGTAAAATGCATCTTCC